CAGATCTCAATCGGGTATTCCCGAAAGATGCTTATCCCCTCCCCAATATTGACAAGCTGGTCGACAAATCGGTACGTTTTAAATTGCTATCTTTTATGGATGCATATTCTGATTACAACTAGATTCCAATGGCGAAAGTAGACAAAAAATATACCGCTTTCATTACCGAGTTGGGTAACTACTACTACTACAACGTAATGCCATTTGGTCTAAAAAATGCGAGCGCTGCATATCAACGCATGATGAACAAAGTCTTCTGCAACGAGATAGGAAACATGCTCGAAGTCTACATGGACGATATGATCATCAAATCCACGGAAGAGATCGACCATACCCTCCACTTGAAGAAAGTGTTCGAGCAGGCCAGATAGTGCCGAATGCGATTTAACCAAGAAAAAATACCTTCAGCATATGCGCGGGAAAATTCCTCGGATTCTACCTAACAATATAAGGAATTGAGGAAAACCCCGACAAATGCCAAGCATTTTTTAAGTTTCCAACGCCCACTTCAAAAATTCCATTCAAATCCTGAACGACATGCTCACTTCTCTCTCTGGATTCGTGGAGAAATTTGCCCAGTACGCGCTCTCCCTCTTCAAGCTCCTCCGTAAAGAAGCTGCCTTCGAATGGACGCCTGAATGTGAGCAAGCTCTCACCCACTTGAAGCAAGCACTATCGCAACTGCCCGTCCTCTCTCGACCAGAGAAGGATGAAATCCTCTATCTCTATATGGTCGTCACATCTGAGGTAACAAGCATATCGCTAATCAGAGAAACCACAGAAGGACATAGACAAATCTACTTTACGAGCAAGGCCTAGAAATGAGATATCGGAAAATTAAAAAGGTGGACCTAGCCATTGTTAACACGACGAGGAAACTCAGGAACTATTTCTTGGCACATATCATAGTCGTCCAAACGGATCAACCAATAAAACAACTGCTTAGAAGACCTGACATGGCGGGAAGAATGTTGAAATGGTCCCTAGAACTCTCTGAATTTGATATCCAGTACGAGGGCAGGAAAGCCCTCAAAGCTCAAGCATGATCGACTTTGTGTCTGAAATGACCTTGCCCGCACGCCTGGACGGAGCACGCTAATGGACAATCTTCGTCGATGGTGCCTCCATATCGACGAGAAGCGGTGCAAGCATTATATTAGAATACGAAGAAGGAACCTTAATTGAGGTCTCTCTCGCTTTATCTATTCCAACCTCGAACAACCAGGCCAATTACAAGGCATTCCTGGCAGGCTTACGCCTAGCCGAAGACCTAGGAGCCGAGGAAGTGAAAATCTTCATCGAATCTCAGCTGGTTGCGTCCCAAGTTTGGGGGGAACATTAGATGAAAAACGACCACCTCGCTGAATATCGGGCCATGGTCCTGTAGCGATAGAAATGTTGAGACAAAGCCATTAGATTGACTTGACTTGCACAAATCAAATAAAAATCTCCACCACGCTTTATTGTATCCAAAGGAATGGGAAAATAGCGAATAACCCAAAAAGACGGGGAGAGAATCTAAGTTCGGAGGTTGGTTTTGCAAAGGGAAGGTATTAGCACCCTAAACATCTATGGTACTCCACATGAACCTCTTTGAAAATTTGTGTATTTTGGCTATAACCGTTGTATACAAAAAATAGATTGTGGAGATGATAAAAGAAGTATGTTTTACAATTTTTGCACCCGCCTCGGTTGCGAACCTTTAGTGTCTATCTACCACCTTGCATGCAATAGGGGATCAGGGTACTCGTAGTTCACCTTTTAAAAATTTTAAAACACAAGTGTGTTGGTTAATTTTAAGAGACGAGACATCATCGTCTTATCCGAGTGGAAGAACATACTTACTACCCATGATTATGAGAAAGGAGAATTTGCATCATCTCAAAGTGGAGGATATAGCTTGGATTTTAAAAATCAACAAATCCTCGCTCAACACCCTACTGAAAAATATCTTACTTTACTACATATTGTAGAAGTATAGTAGGTCACATCACTACAAGGATTGAGAAGAATCTAATCTTTTGAGAAAAGTTTTAAAATAAAAGCCAAAATGGAAAAAATGGTTTGAATGAGATTGATTGACTTTTAGTCTTCTCACAAAAATGTCAAGGTATTATTAAGTTGTTTAAAGTTTGATTAAGAAAAATATTTTAAAAATGCATGGACCTAAGTCCAAGTTTATTATGAAAGTGACTCAGGTTTAGAAACAAGAATAGTTTTCAAAAGGAGGGAGAATATTTTTGAAATTAAAGAAGATGGGAGGAGATGAAGGGACTATCCTAGAGCATAAGGTAAAATCTAGGTAAAAGAACCGTCTAACCAATAAGAAACCAACACTTGACGCAATGAGTCAATGTAGAACTCTTATCCTTTGGATTGAAACCAAACAATAAAAGATAATTGACCTCTTAAGCATACCAAACTTCAAATGCATTAGGTCTTCACGAAAATTGGACAGAGTAACAGTTGTATACAGATGAATTCCCAATTATAGATAAAGCATATAATCAGAATAACCTGCACACAAATAAAACAAACAACCCAATGTCTTGGAGTAAACCCCAAGAACGCCAAAAAAAATAACAATAGAAGTCACATGGTTCCAAAGGTGGTCGAGGTATCTACTTCTAAGTTCCACAAGGTCCACAATATCCAAAATGCCTAGGATAGTAACCAAATAGTCCAGGTAAAATTAAAGTTTTTTATAGTTCAAGTTGGTTATTAGGTATCTTCAAAAATAAAATAAATAACTCAAATGAGCAAAGATGAAAATATCATGAGATGTAAGTGCTAATATAAAGGGTATGTAAAAGTAAAGGTTTAAAGTAAAAGCATAAAGATAAAAGTCAACTGTTAATGAGTTAGAGATTAGGGGTTAGTTGAATAACCATCTTGAAACTTGCATTTGAAAACTCGTTAGAAGATTGATAAAATCTAAGCCTCTCAACAACAAGTTTCAATTGCTTTTTGTCAAGTATATCATTCATTTAAATATCACAAGGCGATAATAAATGATCGACGATGTTTAAGTGATTCACTTTGACCAAAGTCAATGAAGATTCATTAGAGGATTGATAAGATCAAAGCCTCCTAACAATGAATCTCAAGGTTATTGGATCAAAGGTTTTAAATTAACATACTTGGGCTTGCAAACATGGGTTTGGGTTACGAATGATCATTTCTCGAATCGGGAAAAAATTTAGTGCTATGTTAAGCAATCGTAAGTGGACTTATATAGAAGTCACACCTATTTTGAGGCTGATCAATAGCAATCTATGTACCATATGTTTAGAGAGATAATATGTAGATCATTCTCTAACAACATATAATACAATATAAGAATAAGAAAAGGGAGAAGATGAACAAGAATTAAATTCCACATTTGAACCAAAGAATTTAATCAAGCTATTATTAAAATCATTCATCCATTTTTTGTGGAGTTAAACTCAACACCATAGATCCAATAGTGTTAATAAAGCTCATGATTAAAATTTCACATAGTCCAAGATGCCAGAATATATACAAAAATAAAATTGCATTAATTAGTCAAAATAGAATTGAGAAAATTGATTTTTTAAATGTTCTTTAAATGAGAATAAAAGGTAAAATAATAAACTATATTCAAAATATTAAAGAAAAATTAAAACTGACCATATAAAAGTCAGAATTGGTCTCAAATATTTTTAAATTTTTTTTGATAATTTTTTAAAACACAAAAGTGTTTTTAAATTAATTAGAAACACTCAAATAAGTGAAAAATAATTAAAAATAGAAAAATTCGAAATTAAATTCTAGAAAAAATACACTAAATCAGAAATGAAATAAATGAATTTTTTGAATTTTTTTCAGAATTTTTAGACGAAAAATGAATTTATAATGAATTTTTGAAGTTTAAAAACGAATAAAAAATAAATATGATAAAAGAAATTTAAACAGAAATACTGTCAGCCTTTAGATTTGGTTAAATTAGATGAAGTGTTTGCATCAAAAGGTCAAGATTTAAGGCACATAGTAAGTACAGTAGACTGACATATGGAAAATTAAAACTTATCATCTTCTCAGGTGTGATAAAAAGTGTCTCTGATGACCACTTGTCATCACCTAAACCACCGCACAGATCACGAGACAATGGGGAAAGTAAAAGACGGAAAAAATGCAGCCCAAAAGAAAGTTGTCACGTTGAGAATAGCATAGACATTATTTTTGTTTTCTTTCAAGCAGTACTTCTTCCCTTGATCTTCATGAGATACCAACAACAACAATATTCATTGCATTTCCATTTTCAAAATACCTTTGCTTTTAAAACAAAAAAAAAAGTTTCCTCTCTCATCATAAAGCAACATCACATTCTTTATTATCATTTTCATCTTCTTTGTATCACAAAACCAAAATAAAAAGGAAAAATGAAAACAGAAAAGAGAAGGTAGAGAGGGGAGGAGCTCGACGGTCGTTTGGAGTTCACGATGGTGGCCGACCAAAGCTCACAGCGATTGGTATGCTGGGCTGTTTGCAATTCTGCTTTGGACCTTCTTTTGATTTTGTCTTTTGTGAACTAACTTTACTTGTGATTTGCAAAAGATATATTTAGGCCCGTGATTAAATTGAAATCTGATTTGCTATGAAACAAATATATGAGGCTTTGAATGTTTGTTGCAACAAATTACTTGTTGGACTGTTGCGATTCTAACTCTTTCTTTTTGTGAAAACTTGCTATGATGAAGTTCTGGGCCTTTTTTTTAAATGTTTCTAATTGTACCTCATTTTGTGAACCAAAAACAACTGTTTTTTTTTGTGATTTTCAATAGGAGAAATGACCCATGATTTATCACTTGGAAACTAGTTTTGTATGAGGCTTTTCTTTAACATGATAAAAATAACCCCCTAATTCTGATTCCTTCAACCAACTCTAATGATGAAATGAGAAGAAACTTTCTTTGAGATTTTTGTTTATGTTCAAATGTTGTTGATTATTCTAACCATCTCTTCTTTCTTTGTTTCATGTGTGGGAACAATGATGAGGACGGCAAGGAAAGAAGAAGAGGAAATAACATCGTCAAGAGTTCTCGGAGCTTCAAAAGAAATGTATTCAAGAAGCTTTTAGAAGACATCAAGAATTGGAATTCTCTTGTAATTTTCATTCTTTGTAGAGTTAATCTAGGATGAATTTGATTCACACGTAGAACTTTTAAGCTTGAATTAAGAACAAAATTGGTAATGACTTGTAATAAATTTTGCAATTCCATTTGAAACTTACTTGATTTTTGAATAAGAAAATGAGTCATATGACTTGAAACCCTACATATCTCTTGAACATCATTTGAGTAAGCCTTTAAAATTTGGGAATTTGACAAATATTGGATTTGAATTCCCATGATGAAACATTTCAAAAATTAGATTTAAAGATTTACTTGAAAACCATGTAACTTTCCTCTTGAAACTTTGGAAGAAATAAAGCTTTATAACTCCTTGAGACTTAATAATGAATACGACTTGAAGAATCAAAAGAAAGCTCCTAACTTGAGATGAATTTTTCTTGAGATAAACTTGAGCTATGGAATGAAGTTGAATGTCATTTGAATAAACCTTTGGTTTATAATTTCTGAACTCATGAAAATAAGATATTCCTTCCACCTTTTGACTCGAAGTTTTGAATTAATTTGAATCCATGAATTCTTAAACTAAAAATCTCATACCATAGGTCACTATTTTCAAATCCAATTCTTGACCAATGAAGCTTCACACAAAAGTTCACTGCCTTAAAAAACTCATGGCGTAAATCGAAATTAGAGGTCAAAATGACCTATAATGTTTAAATAGAATCCACAACTTTCTAAGTACAATTTGACTTTGACCCTTAAACAAAATTGTAAACAACACCATTTGTGACACGTTGCAAAAAGAACCAACCTGAAACGATGAAGATTGAAAGAATTATGATCTTTGTAAGTTGGACGAATGTCACGTGAATTTAGGTCAAGGTCACAAAATAAACTCTAATGTATTGATACTTTTGATGGCCTTCTACACATAATTATCTCTTGACTTGTAAAGAGAGATCGGAGATGACTTCAATGAGATTTATATGCTCAAAGAATCAACAAAAAATAATGAATAATGGAGAAGTTATGATTATTTGAACTCGAACTTGCAAACGTTGACTTTCAATCAACTAACTTTGAATTAACAACAGACTTTGTCTTTCTTCAACAACTTGAGGCACTATTAACCACATATGAACTTGAGACATCGAAGAAGGCATGTAAATAAACACATGAACCTATTTAGAAGAATATTGAGAATTAAGCAACCAAGCTCGCCTTAACCAAGCTGACTGAAACTTCAAAAATAGTGTGACCTAAGATTATAGATCACCACTCTGAAACACATGCTTTTGGGAACCATCTTTAGCGTGAACAAACCACAACCCTAATTGGAGAGGCATCACATGATTTTCTTGATCGTAAACCATGTCTTATAAAAATAAACAAAAAATATTTTTTAGATTTTGGTTAGAGGTCAGTAGAATATAAAAAACGGATATACAAGATACAAGATTCAAGGTGCTTGGTGATCTCTCAAGAGTAAACTTAAAAATAAGACATAGTAGAAGAAATATCCAAACCCCAATGCGTGATCTTGTTGCGTTATGAATGTATGAGATGATAGAGGAATGTTAGGGAGAAAAATTGGGGTACAACAGGTCCAGGAGAGGAAGAAGAATTCAAATATGTGGACGTAAAACACGTTCCCCGCGAACATAACGCCTGCACAAACATCTTATCCAAACTGGTGAGCACGAAGAGGAAAGGGGGAAATAAGTTGGTGATACACGAAATCCTTCCTCGACCAATCACTCAGAATTTCCCCTCAACTTTGGAAGTATTCGCCATAGGGGGCAACAACTGCTGGATGACCCCCGTATACGACTACCTCACAAAGGGGAAGCTACCCGCCGACTCGAAAGAAGCGGCCATTATCAGACGAAGAGCTTGCTCGTATGTCTTGGTCGAGGGTAAACTATACAGGATAGGATTTTACATTCCCCTCAATAAATGCATTGATCGAAGCGGCGCAGATCGTATCCTACTCGAATTCCACGAGGGGATAAGCGACCAACATCTGGGTGGGAGATCCCTCGATAGAAAAGCTCTACGAGCAGGATATTACTGGCCCACCATGCAGCACGATGTAAAATAACACATGAACAAATGTGACAAATGCCAACGACACGGTGACATGCATTTAGCTTCCCCAAACGAGCTCAAGTCCCTCTCTTCTCCCTGGCCCTTCACTTGGTGGGGATTGGACCTCCTCGGCCCATTCGTGGTGGGGACCAATCAAAACAAATATTTGATAGTAGCCTTCGACTACTTCACCAAATGGATAGAAGCTGAAGCATTGGAGAAAATTACCGCCCAAAACGTCCTTCACTTCTACAAAAGAAACATCCTTGCTTGATTCAGTATCCCACAAGAAATAATCATCGATAACGGGACCCAGTTCACAGATCACTCCTTTCAAGAATTCGTCGCCAATTTGGGAACCACCCAACACTTCACCTCTGTCGAGCATCCCTAAACAAATGGCTCGACCAAATCCGCAAATAGAGTGATACTTAGGGGCCTCAAACAAAGATTAGACGAGACCAAGAAAAGATGGGTCGAGGAGTTACATAGCGTACTCGAGGGATACCGAACAACAGCGCACTCGTCAATCGGGGAGACCCCTTTCTAACTAGCTTATGGAACATAAGTCGTCATTACCGTAGAGATCGAAGAACCCTCCAGGTGAACTGAAGCTCCCCCAAACGAGAAGATGAACAACGTCGCCCTTCAAGAGGAATTAGATCTGGTCGAAGAAATCAGAACAGAAGCGGCCCTACGAGAGGCATCTCTCAAACAAAAAATAGCCATACGCTACGATGTCGAAATCATACGACAAGAGTTCAAGGTCGGTAGCCTTGTCTTAAAGAGATATCAGAAAGAATCTCGCAAAGGCAAGCTCGCGGCGAACTGGGAAGGCCCTTATCACATTTACGCAAAAACGGGGACCGGGGCATATTACTTAGAAAATATACAAGGGGAACAACTTGCTCGATCATGGAACTTTGAAAAGCTAAAATAATATTACAGTTAAAACAATGAGTAGCCGGCGAGTCTCATCGACAAGACAAACTCATCCAGGCCCGAATACGCGTGCATGCCTAGGTACAGGCATATCACCTAAATTATATTGAGGGGGAGAGACTCCGCTCTTTAAACGAGTGTGTCCTCATCCTGACATGGATAACTCAATCAAGCTCCATCGTCTTTGTACCATGATGGTATAACACCTGGCTTGCGACGGGAAGTTCACGCCCCTGAGCTCAGGTCCTCAAAATGAAACTTGAGTTCTGGCCCACGCCTGGTATTCACCCTGGTCGTTTGTCTGGTTTCTCTACACTGGAAAACACACAAATTAAACGAGCAGGTCCCCGCTACAAACCCTTAGAAAACCAAAATATGTCTAAAGATGACAAGCATAACGACAAACATACAAACACAAATATTTGAATTTGAAACAAATGACCGTTAAGGCCGCCATTGTATGAATTTTTACAAAAAGAGGCCCCTTGCCCCACATCCAAAGCAAAATCGTGGTCGCAAGAACCACATCTGTTCAAAAATTACATAAACGGACATATGCCCAGAAATAAGATTACGAGATAACGACACGCAGGCCGGAGCATACTAAGAAAGTTATCAAAACATCATTCTTCTGTTCTTTCCTCAACAACATGCGATAGTTGAGAAGGTCCCCCGATGGACTGGGCAGCAAGCTCTTCAAGGTAGTCTGGGACCAGGATCTTACCAGCAGCCACATAATAATTAACCCCCATGTCGAAGGTGTTGAGCTCGACCCCGAGATTCAGCAAGCGAAACTGCTTCAGCGTGTTTTCAAAACTCCCCTCGGAGGCGGCCTGGGTGTCATCCATCGCTAGTTGCAAACGAGCGACCAGGTCAGCTCGGGTCTTCAAATCCTTTGTGTCATCCGGCTCGTCTTTAGCAGGCGCAACCTCGACAGTTAGGATCGCTACCTTTTCCTCCAAAGCCTTCTTTTTGAGCAACCAGCCTCTGCGTTCCTCAGAAAACTTCCCTAAATCCTCCTCGGCCAACTTTCAAGCCTTCTCCTCATCACTCCGCCCCTTCTCAGCCGCGGCCAACTTAGCCCATAGCTTCTTCAGCTCAGCCTCTTGTGAAGAACTCCCCTCGGTGTAAGCGACCTCCATCTCTAATATCCTCATTAGGCTGCCAGTGTCCTGTGCCAACACTATCCGCTTTTCTGGGTGATCCAAACCCTCAAGGTGAAGAGACTCATCCTGAGGAAGTTGAAGAGCAACGCGCTCAAAGAAATCCCTTTCCAGCCATTAGGGGGGCAGGTCATACTTCCCTTTCCCCTTTTCCCCCGGTCAGATCAACACTTCCCTCGACACGCGGCCTCTTCGCATTCGAGGACACTAGAGAAGGAGAGAGAGCAACGGTAGCTTGGCCTGAGGACGAATTTCCCGATTCTGATGTGGGAGCAGTCCCTAAACTAGTTTGAGCATCCTTCAAAGCTTTCTTCGCTTTAGCATCAAAATTCATGGCTATGCGCTCTTGATCGGAATTCATGCTATCTATAAAATAAATAAAAAATCAGAGTTAGCAAACGAGGACCCAAAAACGCCAACCACGTGTAATTATTCAAAACATAAAACTAAATACCTAATTATTTGGAAGGATCCTCGCTCTCGAGAAGCTCCTTAAAAACTATCAAACTGAGCTCTGTTGGTCCTCGACACCAAGCTCCCTCTCCTTCCAGACATAGGAACCCAATTTATTATCGAAATGCTTCCTCGTCCACTGAAAGGGGAACTTGTAGACCAACTTGCTCACGTGCTCTCCCAACCCGTTCAAAATGTGGTCTTATTCTCATCATATACTGGTGCAATCTGGAAAACATTCAGCAACACCCTCCTTGAAAGAGGCTGCATAATAATATACTTGTTCTTAAAGTGCCGGAAAGACTCCAAATAAGCTTTGAACAGCTTACCGTTGCCTTGCTTCAGGGCGTCCCATCCCCACTTTCCATCAATCTTGCTCCTCTGGAGATGGAAATAATAGAAGAACAATGGGATGGTGGCCCCAATCTTCAAGTAGTCACAAACAAAATCGAACGCCCGCATGAAAGTGAACCTGTTCGGATGCAAGTGGGAAGGAGCCTGTCGAAGATGACGGAAAACGGCCACTTGGAAATTAGAGAA